ATGTCTATCTATCTACCTATCCCATTTTGTTCATATAACATCTATCTATCTATCTATCTATCTATCGTTGAAGTCAAAAGTTTAAATACAGAGCAATAACTTTCATTTTTATTTACATTCTGAAACAATTTTCTGAAATATGTAAAACAAATAAGTAGGCCAGAGATACCTTGTCAAGTGAAAAGAAAGTTAAATGTGAATTATTCAAGTTTTATAAGAAAAAAGAAATAAAAATTAAAAAACTGGATTTTTGTGGCGTTTGTCTACAAAAATATCAAACCTTTTTTTCTTAAACGTCTTGTACTTCTCCACTTTTTCCAATGTTATATGTTTTCTTTAGAGTGAATGAAAGTTTTTAAGTCTTTTAATCAATCCTGTCTGTGATATGGGTGGCAGAACAGAGTGTAAGACGGATAGTAAAGAGACAAAAAGATGAGAAGTCATGGAGGGTAATGATCACCCATGGCGATATTTGTATTTAAATATAAGTTTACGATGTAAGTATACCAACATATATTTTTAACACCATTTTTTTTTTCGAAAGCAATGTTTTGCGTAAACAAAAGTAAAATATTTCAAACTAGAAGAGTTAACCATTCTGGCAAACCCAAGGAACCAAAATATATAATTCTACCCAGCGACTCTATCACAATTACGACGTAAAAGAATTTATCTGCGCTTAACATAAAATTTGTTAGCACTACTTCTAAAACAATAAAAAGACTTAATTTAAATTTAATATAAAAACTTTAAGAAAGAATTTACTCAATCACCTGTAAAAATTGCCACAAAGAATACACAGGAGAAACCACAAAATTTGTTACAACTACTTGTAAAACAATGAAAGACTTAATATAAAACAAAATAATAATAGGCTAAAACTTGGAAGAGGCATTCACTCTATCAGATGTAATAATTGCCACAAAGAAAACTCAAAAGATTATATGAACAAACAAGTGACATTTTTAAAAATACTCAATGCAATTATTGCGCACCGTAATATGTTTGCGATAGTTTTAATCACTAAATCCTCAACAGCAAATCCTGTCTGTGATATGGATGACAGAACAGAGAGCGAAACGGATAGTAAAAAGCTAAAAAGATGAGAAGCAATGGAGAGTAATGATCACCCAATTTGTATTTAAATATAAGTTTACGATGAAAGTGTACCAACATATATTTTTTTTTCAAAGCAACATTTTGCGTAGACGAAAGTAAAATATTTCAAACTAAAAGAGTGAACCTTTCTGGCAAACCCAACGAATCATAATATATAATTCTACCTACCGACTCACAACTTCAATTGGAAAAAAAAATTATCTCACTTTAACATAAAACTTGTTACAAATGCTTCCAAAACAATAAAAGACATAATTGATATAAAACAAAAAGTCACTTTCTCACTGACGGGCGGTTGCTTCCTTCTAACTTTTCTAAAAATATTTTTATCGCAATTGCCATGACGAGGTTTTTTTTTATTACCCTGGCGGCTCAACTACATGAATTTAAGCGTGCTACTAGATTGGCATCAACGTCCCGCCAATTTACTGTCGAAATAATTCATGCAGCCGACACTTCTACTCCAACAGTTTCTTTTCTCGAACTTCCCGCCTTAGAAACTCCCTTCCGTTTAAGTGCTTCCTGATAACTATAATCTTCAAAAATTTAAATGCAACGTCAATCGCCATCTTCTATCTTCTTGAATCCCGTTCATCTTTTGTCCTTTCCGCAATCCTATGCTCAGTCTTTTCTCTTGTGGACTCTTCCACAACAAGCCTGTTAACCCCTGCTAGGAAATGCACTATTCCTGTTATAATTTTCACTATCACAATCTTACAAAATATATAACAAGCATTCATTGGTTAATCACCTTCAATCTAGCTTGCTGATTGGTCAGTTCCGACCAATCAAACCGCCTGCACACGACAAATCTGTTTTACCGCGTTTTCTATCTGAGCCAGTCACGTGATTGACGATGATATATAAACAAAACATGAGTAAACTCCCTCGAGTTTCTTTTCATTCATTTCTCTCTCGCGTCTCATTTGCCAAGATGTAATCTTCAAGAACTCCCGTCTTAACCTTTGCGGTCAGACGTTAAAGACCATTATCAACATTCACACAAGTACGAACTCTGAAATCTTTTCTGAACTTTTACCAACTTGTACAATACACAATTCCAAACATGCTAAAGAATCTTTATTCTTCTAAACTACAATTTAATAATTACTTTCACTTTATGAGCTCGAATACAAGTATTACCTAATCTAAGAGACACAACTCTGTCTAACTTTTCAGTTCACATGCAGGTATATTAAATAATAATAAATTCAATTGTTACGTTTTGAAACAAGATGTTTATGAATCTTTATTTCTATATCTTGTATTAATTTTTGTGGATGGAAGATTATTGAACACACACAATTTTAAACCTTCTGATAATTCAAACCTTCTATTCCTCTCCAACACACATCACACATATCAGCAACACTGGCTTTCACTACCTGCGTATTCGTGGCATTCCCGTCTTGCTTGGGGTGAAATTATTTTTTAAAAAAAAAGAAGAAAAATAATTATAAACTAAAACATGAAGGAAGAATTTATACTGTCACATTTAATAAATGCCACAAGAAATACACAGAAGAAATCCAAAGGAATTTAAATAAAAGATTATGTGAAAAAAGAAATATTTAAGAAAAAAAAACACACTGCTTTTGTTGCTCACCATCAAGAGTCTGACCATAATTCTGATTTAAAAAATGCTACTTTAATTAAAAGCGAAATCAATTTACTAAGTCGAAATTGTATAGAAAGTGCTTTAATTGCCAGACCATCGACTTAAGATCCACGTTTATTTTCTTACAGCATTTAATCTTTCATGGTAGATCTTCTATTATCAACAATGTAGAATATTTAATAGCAAACATAATTAAAAAAAATAAAAAATAAAAATAAACTGAATAATATCAGTGAGATTATATACCAACAAATATATTTATAAAGATATTAAATTTAAAATTTCAGCGTCCCCACTCCTCATACGCATGCGTAATCACATCAACGTAAACATCAATTTATTCCAATGACGTTATAAAAGGACGAAACGCATCACACAATAATTTTTACCAGTTTCTCACAGATTTTCCTAAAATTGTTCTTGTATATATATATATATATATATATATATATATTTGAATAAAAAACAGACCACGTTAAGATTCCATGTAATAAGCTATTTCACCATAACCCCTTTAACAGGGTTCTGGATCATCAGACTTTACTTCCAAAAGCTGAAATGAAAAATGAAAAGAAATTCACACGTTTTTTACCGACCTCATCAAGTATACGCAAAGTTAACAAAGTGAGGAAGTGAGGTGGGAGAGAGGATATGAGTGTGTCATATGTATCATTTTAGTTTCCTATTTTAACCCCAGTGTGTCGGCTGGATGTTGCTCAAATTTAACGCGTCTCGTCTCTAGATATAGATGGCTAAGGGGTGAATGATAAGAGCGACATTAAAGGAAGAATTTACAACAACCCCAATAAATTACACGACAGGTTTCATTCAAATTCTTAGAATTCTTTATATATATATGTGTGTGTGTGTGTGTATCACATGAATCATTCATACAAAAAACAAATATAGAGGTTAATGATTTAAATGGCGAGAATACATCTCCGCAAACAATTTCAAGAAGATACACTAACCCCGAACCTCTATATGAATGATATAATTCCTGTTTATAAATACAAGTTTCATAAGGTCTTTTTTTAGTTTTTACAAGCTTTCGTCTGTTCCTACAGACATCCTCAGATATGGAAATAGATTTGTTCTTGTTTTTTACTTCTCGGTAATAAGAGGACAACGAAAATATAGATGTAATCCGAAAAAATGCTATGAGAAATGTATTATTGTTTTGGGACGCTGAGTTTGAATTTTAAATTTTAAGGTTGTGCGTTTTTGTGCAAATATAGTAATAAGAGAATTCTTTTGTACTGATAGGTTTTCCGTCAATGTGGCATGAACTATATTGTTCAATAATTACAAGAATGTCACACTTATTATCCGAAAGTTGCACGTTGGATCAGTTATTTTAATTTCGATATATATATATATATATATATATATATATATATATATATATATATATATATATATATATATAAACGAGATATTCGCCTCGGTAATTTAAACAATGCTCTATTTGTACACATAACTAAATCTGATCATAATTTCGATTTTGATTCTGTGAAGATTTTAAAATATATTCCTAATAAAAATTTTAGACGGATTTATGAGGCAGTCATAGTATCTATCTCATGCACGGTGAATACTAGACACGACTTCTTTAACATTTCCCCTTTCCTAGCAAGATTAATCCTCCACAAACGTACATATAAGTTTTAGATTAAAATAAAATTCTTTTCATTTTTCATTCAAAATACTCTATTTTAGGAATACGTTTTCACAACATCGCCCACGTGACGCCGACGTGATCATATTGAAAAGGAACGCTGATCTTGAAAAATTTCAGTTGTCTGTTTTGATTAGTCTTACTCTTATGTCCATCGTCTTTTCATGTTGAATTAAATATAGTCTAATGTTAATTATGTTTTATGAATATATCCTGAAGATGGTCTACTAGACCGAAACGTTCGGCGTTGACATTATATTAACATTAAAATAGCATAATTGCATATTAGGATTTTGTTTGTTTTTTCCGTATATTTTTTTTCAAATATATATATATATATATATATATATATATATATATATAGAGAGAGAGAGAGAGAGAGATAGAGATCGTGTTATTATTGCTTTACACTACTTTTATTCTTTATTCTCTAGCCTAATAAGAATGGCTTACAGCCATATCGCATTAAAACACCTGTTCTTGTACAATTACAGAAGTTAAGCAACATTGAACCTGGCCAGTAGTACCTAGATGGTTGACCGTTTGGGAATGTTGTAAGCTCGAATGTGTGGGCGCTGTAATGGA